TGCCCTTTATTAATCCTGGAGATCATTTTGGTTTTTATAGAAGTACTTAATCACTAAAACAAATCTTAGTGCTTTGGAATGGAAATTCTAACCCTCAAAACATACCATCTTTCTTAGTCTCAGAAATTAACCAAAAGACTGAAAAACTTTGGAAAATTGACTATTCTATTTTCTCATGAATGTTGCCTGATACATGGAACAAATTAAAAGTCCACCAACTTTAGAGCTTCATTTCCAGATGTTGACCTATGACTCTTAGGTGCACATCTATGCCCCAAATAGTTTAACACAAACTTTGCTTTTAACATATCTTCTAATTTTAAGACTTTTCATTGTATTATTTATCTTTTGTAACAAAGAGAATAACTTAAATTTTTAAAATTAAAAATTTTACCTTTGTTCATCTCTCTTTCACGTTATATATATGCCTGCATGCTATATATACTACACATGTTATATATATAATATATATTTTCCTATTATATATATCATTTCCAATTTATTTATTTCCTTAGATTTACACATTTTGTCAGCAACACAATTCTTGTTTCTCTTAAATTATTAAATAACATGCTCATTTGCTCATCTCTGTAGTGGAAATATATGGGAACCTCTCTGATTGACAAAGACTTAAATCAGATAATGTATACACATTGCTTAGCACCAAGAAGACGGTATAGTTAATAAGAGATAAAAATTAGCTATTATTATCAACTATTATACCATGGTATTCATATTTTTCCAAATATTCATCCCTTTTGGAAAAAGTTTCCTCTATGAAAAAGAAAAGTGAAATAAAGTGTCACAGAGCAAATAGTTTGTTTTGAAGAAGCTGCTGATAAAGCATGTATCTACTTGAGGTACTCTTGTATTTTTATCTTTAGTTATGTATTTTCAAATCATGGTTGGTACAATTTTAGGCCAAGTAGGGAGCAACAGCAAACAGAATCCAATTTCCAAATTAACGTTTTTGTTATATTAAATTATAAAGTAACCTTGAGGGTAGAAAGGCATATTTTGCTACTATGATAGACTGGATTCATTAAAAAGTGAGTAGAAAAGCCGGTTTTGCATTACCATCTATATACACACACACACACACACCCCTCAAGTTTTAGAACTGAGATAAATACGTAACATTATAACAGTATTCAGGATATGCAACAAGAAAGTGGTGAGGGCGTGGCGCTGGTTCTGATTTATACATGCTATTGCAATGTGACCCAAAATAAGCCGGTAAATGCAGAGCTAGGAAGCCAGATTTGGAGGGCTTGTAAAAGTAAGACATCAGGAAGAATAACTTATTCTAGGTGCCCATATTTCTTGGGTTGGGGGGGGGGCATTCTAAATCAATTTTCTGTAGAATATAAAGCTGTGTGAAACAAAACCATACAATTTTATCATTAAAACTTTTTTTTTCACAAAATGTGCTTTATTTTCATTTTCATTCAAATGAATGCCCTTTGTTATGTTTTCTAAATCTCGCGCTCTCTCTCTCTCTTTTTTTTTTTTTTTTTTACCTTTTTGACATATAATGTTATATTCTAGATCAACATGTTATTAAATTAAGACTTTATTTTGGGGGGGGGTGTTGCCTGGAGTTGGTTAAGTGTCTAACTCTTGATCTCGGCTCACGTCATGATCTCACAGTTTTGTGCATTTGAGTCCCGCATCGGGCTCCTCGCTGACAGTGTGGAGCCTGTTTAGAATTGTCTCCCTCTATCTGCCCCTTCCCCACTCACGTTTTCTCTGTTTCTCTCATGCAGCTTAAGGTTCACCACAGAATTCAAGGGGACGTACAGAGATTTCCCATCTATCTAACAGACAGGCACAGCATCCCCATTTATCAGCGTCTTGGATTGAGTGGTAAATTTGTTACAACTGATGAACCTACATTGACACATCACAATCATCTAAAGTCCATAGTTTGCATTAGGGTTCACTCCAACTGTTCATTCCTTGGGTTTGAACAAACCAAGGAAGTTTTCTACCATCATTATATTTTACAGAGTATTATAACTGCCCTAACATCCTCTCTTTGCTCTGCCTGTTCATCTATCCTTCTCCCCACAACCCCTGAAAACCATTGATCTTTTTACTGTCTTACAGTTTTACTTTTCCAGAAGGTCATATGTTGGCATCATACAGTATGCAGCTTTTTCAGATTGTCTTCTTTCACTTAGGAAAACACATTTCAGTTTCCTCCATGTGTTTTGAAGGCTTGATAGCTAATTTCTTTTTAGCACTAAATAATATTCCATTGTTTGGATGTACCATAGTCTTTTTATCCATTCACCTACTGAAGGACCTCTTGTTTTCTTCCAAGTTTTGCAATTATTAAGCTTGTAAACAACCGTGTGCACGTTTTTGTGTTGATATAACTTTCCAGCTCCTTTAGGTAAATACCAAGGAAGACGATTGCTGGATCATATGGTAAGAATATGTTTAGTTTTGTAACAAACCACCAAACTGTCTTTCAAAGTGGCTGTACCATTTTGCATTCCCACAAGAAATAAATGAGAGTTCCTACCGCTGCACATCTTCATAAGCATTTGGTGTTTTGGTGTAGTGCTGTATCTCATTAATGTTTTAATTTAAATTTCTCTGATGATGTGATATGGAGCATCATCTCATATGGTGATTTGCCACCTGTATGTCTTTTTTTGGTGAGGTATCTGTGAAAGTTTTTGGCCCATTGTTTTCAGTGGAGTGGTTTATTTCCTTATTAAGTTTTAAGAGTCTGTATATTTTGGTTAACAGTCTCTTATCAGATATATCTTCTGCAATTATTTTCTGTCTGTGGCTTATTTTCTCATTCTTTTGACAATGTCTTTCACAGAGAAGAAGTTTTTAATTTCAGTGAAGTTCAGCTTATCAATTATTTCTTCCATTGTTTGTGCGCCTTTGGTGTTGTATCTAAAAGGCATCACCATACTCAAGGCCATCTAGATTTCCTCCTATGTTATCTTCTAGAAGTTTTATAGTTGCATGTTTTACATTTAGGTTCTTGATACATTTTGAGTTCACTTTTGTTAAGAGTGAATTCATTTCTTTTAGATTGTTTTTTTGTTTGTTAGTGGACATCCAGTTATTCTAGCACCATTAGTAAAAAAAAACACTTCCTTTGCTGCATTGCATTGGCTTTCTTCCTTTGTCAAAAAAGCTTGAGTATATTTATGGGGTGGGTCTATTTCTAGGCCCTCTATTCTATTCCATTGATCTGTTTGCCTGTTCTTTCATCAGTACGACACTGTCTTGATTACTGTGGCTTTATAGTAAGCCGTGAAGTCAGGTAGTGTCAGTCCTCCAGCTTTATTCTTCTCCTGCAATATTGTGTTGGACATCCTGGCTCTTTTGACTCCCCATAGGAACTTTATAATCATTTTGTTAGTACTCACTCACCCACAAATCTGCTGGGATTTTGACTGTGATTGTAGTGAACCAACTGATCGAGGTGGGAAGAACTGACATCCTGACAATACTGAGTTTTCCTATCCATGAATTCTCTCTCCTAGTTCAACATTTTTTTCAGTCAGTGTTCAGTGGTAGGATAAAGAGGCTTCAGAGTATTCACCCTAAGTTCAACCAGAAGTCATACTTTTATTTTTTTCATTTTTGCCTTCTATGGATTTTCTTTGAGCATAAGTTTCTGAGGGTAAAACAATGCTCAAAATCCACTTTATTGAGAATTTCTTAAAATAATGATTTTAAAGGTAAAGAAATATTTATTTTTATTTTTTATAAATATATATATATATATATAACTATCTAAATATATCACTCTCTACACATGTATATGAAATATATACATATATAAATCTTGATGAACAGTAATTACAGAAAGTCCGTGTCGAACCCAAATCCTTCATCTTTTGGGATTATATTCTTTTTCAGGGTTATGATCTGATCCGGTCACGGAGGGTATTTTCCATTCCATGATCACCAATTCTACTTCTAATACTTGAATTTATCCACCAAAAAACGCCAAAAAGGTTACATTCTGAAATAGGACCACTTTTGCTGTCACAATCATTAACAGTAAACGAGAAAGCTAGAATAATGAAGAACTTAGGCAGACCATTATGATCCAATGGATCCATAACTAATTTTGTTTATCAAACTCATTACCTGAATATATACCACTAATGATTAGGTCTTAGTAGGTAAGTTATACATTCATTTTTAAAATAAAAAAGTGCTAAAGCCAATATTTCACAATTCATATCAGCTAGTCATTAGATGTTCTTGTTTCATAATTATGTTCCTTTGGTTTGTCTTTACCACTCAACAAAATATAACTTTTCCTTTTTCTTAACCCCCTAAAATCTCTCAACAAAACTAAGTCATTTTATATTATAACCCATCTCCAAAAATTTTAGTCCCACAGTAGCTATATTCTTTTGGAAGACCTATTTGCTCCAAATCTTTTCAAAGTTTGTCTGTCTTGCTATCTTTGCTCTCTTTTTTGGTTTTTCTGCTTCCTATAAATGTAATGGGGAAATGGCAACCTCGGGAACCGAGAAAAATCTAGTTAATGAATGGGAATGGAATGGAAAAGTATATATTTTAAGTTTTATTCACAAAATCAAGTACAATTTTAGTTAACTGTGTTTTAAAGATTGTAAGATATTGAGACCTGAAAATAAAGTATTCTTTAATGTATCTTGCAACTTTTTTCCTTTCTTTTCAAGTACTTTCCTTCATTTTACATTTTTCTAACCACACTATGCCTAGCAACTTCTCCATTGATTTCTAAAGTTGGGTCCCACCTCTCATCCTTTTATAGTGTATTAAAACAACTCATACTCAAAACTTAACTTTATACTAATAAATCAGATAGTGTTGGAATCGCAATGAGTGACAGAAATGAAATTTTAGGATTGTGGGTTAAAGTTATATGGATTGCTCAAAGTATAACTCCTCACATGGACTGTCACAAACATTAATAACCAAACTCAAGCCATTTCATTGTATTATAAAATATAATTCATGTTTCTTACTTCTATTTCTACAGATTCATGTAGCTTCTTGCAGGTGGCTGAGAAAGTTTCAGATGTGCCAAACTCAAAATACCAAAATTTGTTCTTCATTCTGAAAAAGGAAAGGAAGAAGCAGCTTAGGCAATTATCAATAACAGAAGGGATTTTTTTTTAATTGAGCAGTCCTTTCTTGTATTATAAGTCATAAAAAAGGTTTGAGGACATATACCATCTATAATATAATAGATGGTCACATAATTTTCAAAGCTTAAATGTTGGTGTCAAATTATATGATTGCCTCTGAGGGAATTAGAAGAATATGTTGATCTGATAGATACAAGTATATCTTTGACTTTTATATATATTGGTTGCTCAGGTTTTAAAATATGATTTTAGCGCTTATAATTCTTAGCTTGTTCAGAGACAACTTGATTTAGACCAGCAACTCTATAATCATAAAGGGAAAAAAACAATTGGAGCTTTTTATGAGAAAAATGAGACTAAGCTAACAATGCTAAATATTTCTAGATGGCTAGGTATTCCTCAGAGATTGACATGATTGAATAGCATATTGAAAAGAAAAAAAATAGTGGTTATCCATAAAGATAAAATTTAGTAACTTTGGGATAGCCATTATTTTTTTCAGACAGTAGCCTCTTTTCTGTGAATAGTAGTGAAAAACTATGATACCATATGGAAGAGCAAAAGAAGTAGTAGTATTTTATCAGTATAACAAAAGTTGCAAAAAATATAGTTTAAAATATATTAGTATATAATCTGGAAGTAAGATGCTCAAAATTTATTTTCTCCCATGATCCAGTAACCCTATCTTTCTTTGTGCCAGGTAAATACATTTATGATCATTTAATGTAACTTAATTACATTAGGTAATAGTGTATTACCCGATATTGAATTTAACAGTTCATTCTCATGAAAAAAAAACGCAATTTTTAATTACACGTATTTTAACAAGGTATTATGCCCTCAATTAGAAGAAAAGCAGGTAAAATAAGATACATTTTTGCACATAAAGGCAAAACAAAAATTTTTGCCATATTCAAATATATCTTTCATAACAAATTACTCTTTTTGGCTTATAAATATTGATATGTGCTTTTCACATTAGAAGGTAAAACATTTCAACAATTAAAAATACATTTGGCAAGGACCTTACTTAATTCAGCCCTATGATCAGTTATGGAAAATTACATGGAGCCTAATACAACGTTTATTATTACACTGTGTTGAATAGAGTTCTCTAATATGAAATTAGGAATTATAAAACTAATTTCATCTATCTAGACATGTCCAATAATAGCCTCATACAAGGACTTATTTACTTACAAAGTTTTCACTAGCTCTTGTTGTATCAATCACCATATTCAGGCCAGTAATCTGAAAGTGTCCTACGCCTAGGATTCTAGTACCATGAATCCTTACTCTTTTTTGGAGAATATTTTCCTCGAGTTATGGCCTGACTTCATATATGTGAGTAGTTAGAAAGAGATGATAGCTAATTAGATAGAATAGGTTTAACACCAAGATCTGTGGGCCTGAGCCTACAGGCAAATTTATATTAAATTAATGTAAACATCTACTTCATTCAATATATGTAAGTTTACAAATTTACACAATGGCTGAAGTTACACAAATTAAAAATATTTTCCTATTGATTCATCATTCTGATGAAAACATGGCATTCAATAAACTGAGAGGGAAATAATGATTTTATGCAGTAGTTTCAAGACAATCTTAGGATAATAACAAGTAGATGTTTTATGACGTTTTGGAACTGTCTCTCTATGTTCAGCAAGTTTTCTAATAACACTTGTGTTAGCATTTTATCCAGACCTTCTTGGACTCATTTATTCATCCATTCATTCATTCAACAAATATTCAGTAAGGACATTAACTTCCATATGCTACTGTGTTAAGTTGTAAATATATAAATATGAACACAATGCTTTGTTTCCAAGGAGCGCAGAATGTTGTAAGATTATGGACATATGAAATGATTAAAAAGTTAATTCTTTATACAATATATGAACAAAATGTTATGGGGAAACATTTCAGTGAGTCAACCGCTTATTCCTGGGAGAGGCCAGAGAGCTTCAGAAGATAAGGCAACACTTTAATAGGTCACTAGAAGGTGGCAAACAAGGAAGAAAAACAAGTTCTGGGCAGTTTAGGTATGCAGAATGACTTAAGAGAATACAGGGTAGGGGCTAACAAAGGTCTGTTTCAGAACATATATGTCAAGCTAGGAGGTTTGGAGTTGACATTCTAGATTAATAGGATGCTGACAGAACTTTATTACCAGTTGAGTGACATGGCCAGCTCTGGTTTATGAGCAGTAAGTTTAGCCGAAATGAATAAGGGGGCTAAAATGCTGAAATGCTAGTCATGTGAACAGAAATGTGGCTATCGGAACAGTACAAATGAAATATAAATGAAGGGCTAAACTGAGTGGCAAGGGAAAGGGAGAAAAGAGGCTCAATATAAGGGGCGTAAATTAAGTAGTATCAGTAGGAACTCATGATATTAGATTATATAGATTTCTGTCATACCAAGGTTATTATTTCTGGATATACATGTAGAAATACCAGAACATTACTCCAGCAAAAGAAGGATGTGTGTTTATATTATGACAGGTTCTGTGATCTAATGTATATTGCATGGTAGTTTGAAAATTAAATATATATAGATGTACACACATACACACACATACATACACATACATGAGACTGCTTATATTCTTTATCAATGGTTACTCCCTACTTTTTTTTCCATTCTGTCCATCAAAACTCTTCATAGCTTAATTAGGATGATGGAGGGTTTGTATCAGCTAACCAAAATATACCAACTTTAGGAAATACATCCCGCAAAAAAAGAAACTCTGAGAATTTACATTCAGTTTTTATTCCCCATATTAGTTAGCATTACTGCTCATGTGCAAAAGCTGCTTTAAATTCTCCATTATTACAACCATTTTATGTTTCACTTAGATAAATATATGGAGGTAATAAAAAACACATAGAATCAGATTCCACATGACAAATTAAAAGCTGTTAAATTTTATTTTTTCAACCAAACTGGTCTTTAGGTTGTAGAAATGCAAAAAAGCACATTTAAGCATGTATGCTATTTACTTTTACGGCTAACATTAGAAAATGATCCAAATAATTCAAACTCAAATTTGCCAGAGAAAACATGTAGCTTTGGACTTTAAGAATAATAAGGTAACTGGACATTTAACACACTGTGAAACATCACACCAAACTCAAATTTATTGTATTCTTAGACAGGTTTTGTGACTCCAGGTATGATGACGAGTGTCCTACAAAGAGTGACCCATATTATCATAATTCTAATTCATTAATATATTAAATCCTATTTCAATGAATTTAATTGTAAGTCTACAGGTTTTGGTTTAATATTTAACGTGCGTGGCTACCAGATGTTCAGGTAAAAGCTTTTAAAAATGAGCTCACATTTGTCAAGATTTTCTTCCCAACGGCCACTTTGTCTTTTTTACATATCCTCAGGGAAATGTAAACTACCAGATATTTTGTTCAAGCAAAGAATCATACCTGTCATTATAAAATGTAGGTAATATTTTGTTCTCCAAGTTCGGAACTTACAAACAGGTCATTTAATTTCAATATACTTTCCTTGGATTTTTTTTCTTCCTGGTATACATGTTTTTTGATTTGGCTTTTGTCTGCTACGTATTGTAAATGCAGCAAACATAAAACAAACAAACGGAACATGAATTGCTAGTGCATTTCCCACAAAGAATAACAAAGAGCCTAATTAGATATTAAGATCATTTCTAATGAAGTTGAAACATAAAGAGAAGGGTCAAACTGGTTCATTTATCTTATGTAGAAAGCTCAGAAGTCATAAACACAGAGAGTTGTTAATTCAGTGAAATTACTCTTAAAATTAAGGGTCAGCTTTTTTTTCTCACAGATGTCTTTCTTTTTTATTCTATTATAAATATATATAAAATTATTAAGATATTACTACTTACTATGCAAACATCTGAAAAGCCTTCTATTAGACACTTGACTCCCCTTTTCAAGCATCCTTAACTAAGCAATTCTATCTATATTTTATGGATAACATGCTCATGAGATAAGAAAATAAAACTCTTCTGATCATTGCTTTTCAATATGAAAGTAAAAACAATGCCTTAAGTAGCTTAGTTAGAAAGGATTTAAAACCAGTATGTTTTTCTATCCATTAGGGATGTTTCAAAATCTCATTTTTTTTCACTAGCTTTCTTTCACTTTTGTCCTGTTATGAAAGTATTTCAACAGTTATTTCAGTTCTGGCTTGAAAATCATTTTCTCACGAAGAACAATGTTTCTAACAATTCACTAACTTTAATGATAAGATTCAGTCTCACAACTCTACAGAACATGCTAGGAACACAGCAGGAATTTTGAACTTGGCTAACAGTATCAGTGTTAAAAGATGCAGGCAGCACTCTTGGCTCACAGCAATAGGGTAAGTGTTTCAAGAGGTGCATTTATGTCATACAATCAATTCAGTTTTATTTATCTTTCAGTATCAAAAGCCATGACACTAAACACTGGTTATAGGGTTACTCGCTTCTTACCAAACTTAGGTAAAAATACACAAGCCAAGTGGTAATGCCATGGTGGGACCTGATTCCTGGGCAGACCAGCAGCATCTAAGAGCTGCAGCCCCAGGCAGGAGAAGCTCCTACGGGGGGAGGGGCAGCAAACAGAGCGGGCAGGGCAGCGGGGCCTTAGTGCAGCAACCATAGGTTAACATAAGGGGGCAAGGCTGGGGACACTTGTAGCTTAGGCTGTCACCTCTTGACATCTGCAAACTGTCATCTGTACGGACTACCTACAGTAGCAGGCATTTGTTAAGAATGAAGTCTATACTCAACCAAATGAGATTTGCAATTTAATTTTTTCTTTTGACTGGCAACTGTAAATACACGAATAAATGGTTATGAAAAAGGCTGCTTAAAGTTTGAGATTTGGGAATGAATGGGAACTCTTACTCCAGTTTATAAATCTCAGTATTAAACATTGAAGTGCACAAAGGGTTATACGTTTGCTTACAGAAATTTGA